ATCAGTCACACCGAGAGCGTCACTGTACGTGACACGCCCCGTACATCCACCAGACTCGTATGGGCACCGGCGTTGCCATCCGGGCTTAAGAACTTTACAGACGTCTTGCAACCTTAAACCTTTACATAGACTGGTCTGCCTCTCTCACCTATGCGTAGACACCACAGTTGCATCACATAAATAAGCTCCAGGTTCAATATCTGTACCGAATCGGCTATGCAAACTCGAATTCGAGTGAGACGGCTAATGTTTGCTTTACAACTTGTTATCACTATGCATTCAGTGTAGTCTTTTTGTGCACCCGACTCGCGACAAGCACGCAACACAACGACAACACCACTCCCCGACAAGCATTTCCTCGATGGATGGGCCTTCGTTGGCATGCGCTAGCATCTTCCGACGCAAATGGACTTACTGGGTATGCTACTACTGAGCATCAATCGGTATAGCCGACCCAATGACTTCGTGGTAACACAAAATACGCGAACTGGTTGTCACCAGTGCGTCAACTGACTGCGTAGGTCGGTGGTCTAGATGCGGAGACTTAAATTCACTGTCGCGCACGTTTACCGAAAATCGAGGAACGCCGACCCATTCGATTCTGCATCTCGATGTGTCGCCTTTCGCGGTTCTCGATCGCATACGAGGTGTAAGTGGGCAACGATCTATCCCGATCGGATCGGGTTCAACCCACCGCCTATATGCTGAATGGATAGACCACTCCATATGACATCGACACGAGGTAGGCTGATTGTGAAAAAAACAGGGTTTGACCGCAATCTTTGCACGGGTGCGTGAGCATCTACCCAGCTGCTTCACAGCAACACGTAGAACGAACGACAGATGCACACCTACATTAGAAGTGAAATGCATACTCGCTCTGTGGTCAAACCTACGAGGTTCCGAGGTGTCAGCACCACTACGCCAAACGCCTACTAACACCTACCAACGCCGTCTATATACATGTCAAACTGACTTCGGCACGGTTACGTCTGCTGTACGGACTCGATCGGAATCAAGGCAAACAGTACCTTTCGGGGTGTACCATGTTGGGTCGGGACTTTCTCTGTGCTGGATCAACGCACGAGGAGGTACTGGGACAAGGCTGCACATCAGAACGATGCGCAAGCTCCTCGTCTATACGCTAAAGCGACATACCCTTCCAGCTACAACTGGTCACATGGAGGCTGCATCACAGCGCAGAGGTCATGCCATCAACGATCGCAGGTCCCAGGTGTCCGTTGTAGCATCAAAGTAGCTGGTCGAGTGTCGCACTCTGCTTGTCGCTCACCGGCAGCTCCGATTTGCTGTGTACCGATGGCAGCACACGACCGGCAACGGTATCGCAACATGTTGGCCATTCGCCCTCTCGTCGATGTCACTGCCGCGTCTTGCACTCAGTAATCTGTGGCTGACTGCTTCCGGCTCTACTTCATTCGGACAAGAACTGTGGCTTTCACATGGTGGATCTCTAGAGCCTGGACCCAACGACAATCAGCTGGTCTACTCCAAGCAGAATATATGGTTGGACTCGGGTAGCCACTTCCTCGGCACTTTCATGCGGCGACAGCAGAAAAGGAAGTATTTTGGCTCACGTGCTCTTGGGCAAACAACCTCTGGATTCTGGATCACGAGTGCAACACTTTGACCGCGCAGGAGTCTGCCAAGATCTGGCATACCACTATTGGATAACTGTGCAGCCGCCCATCACAAAGGCAAGATGCGCGACTAGGGACGAGCAATTTGATCACTGCGCCGGGGTCGGACATTGGCGGTCCAGCTGTTGACAGTCTGCTCCAGTGCCACCTTTTGCAACTGAAAGTACTGCCCACTCCTCAAAAATATTGCTGCGTGTGGTATTTCGATGAGTTAGGTGGGCGGAGTCGGGTTGCGGTACGCCGCGCTGTCTTGTCTGAGCAAGAAAGCAATATTGTTACAAAGAATGGGTGCGACGCACGTGGGGAGGATCGCTGACAGCCGCCGACTGCATGGCGCTTCGCTAGGACCACTACACCCGAGGCCTCGCGTTCGATGCGCACCCGCTGGTCCACCCACTGATCCATGGGTTTCATGGAGCGTGCCTAACGCCTCGGGCAAATCACCATGTCGTTCTGGATACAGGCGACAACCTTATCGCGGGGTGAAAGGATCGAGCAGTGCGCTGCTTTATGTCTTGAAGAAGCTCTGGCAGGCAGCGTGAGAGAGTGCTTAGCAGGCTACAGCATGACAAGAGACACCGACAACCATACGCCTCCGAATCACAAGCGCAGGGAGTAACAGCTGTGGCCATCTCGCGTGTTGCGGTGAGGCAACTAGACATTTGTTTTACGGGACAGGAAACTGACCCACGTCATCCCTTGCTACGGTGCTGACTTAAGGCGAAGCAGGGTGTGGTACGCATTTTTCCAGCTTGCTCTTGCGCACGATCTACTGGTGTAAGCAGATATGCCATGGCAAGGGCAGCCGCTGAGAGGTGCGACGATTGAATTGCTCGCTCGTACTGGTGCACGCAGATAGACTTAGGAGCTATCCGCAGTAGTCAAGGACTGTCTTTAAAGCGATTCTGTTCACGGGGTGAGCGCAGACACTCCGTCTGGAAGCAGCTTTGGTCATGTACTGAGCAGCGTGTGAACGCCTGGCTTGTGATCTAGCGAAATTGGGTCGCGTTTCTACGTGTGGCCATCACCTTCGAAGGCAGAGTCAACGAAGTCTGGGAAACAGTCGTGAACTCTCCAAGTGACAGCAAAGTGGGTATGTTGTAGAATGGCACACCGAGAGAAGGACTACGTCTATTGATGTGTCAAACCACAGTTAATCAGATAACCTGAGGGCCTAAGGAGCCTTCACCCACGGTACCTATACCCGTACAAAGCGCCGATTCGCACAAGGACCCGGAGTTGATAATCTTGCCCAGGCCATGCCAAACGCCGTGCAAACACTTGAATGTTCAATCGATCTGTCTACACATCTACATACTTGCGTCTGACTCAGCCTCTTTCGCTGGTCAAAATAAGATCAGTAGACGAGCGAATACGCAGAGTAAGTAGCAAGCCGACCTTTATATTTAGCGTTCCGTTTACCACATCGACGCAAATGCCGCACCCATCAAGAGCGACACTTCCTGTACTGCTTCGTCGACGGCTACTTGTCGTTTTCTATCGTTTCTTTTCTACGTTCTATGGCTTCATTTGAATGTATCCATATTTCCTGCGCCAAGTCCTCAACACCACGATATCGCCATAGCTAGTCCAAGGAATTTTCTTTGATGAGCAAAACGCTCGCAAAGCCTCCTGTAGGTCGCCGGGAAACTACTGCGCACACACGCTTATCGTTTGGCGTGCTACTTGCGCTTTTTCGTCTTTCTTACTAGAAGTTATCATTGCCGTTTTCGTGGCGGACAACGTCAAACGACGAAGATCGAAAAGGTGCCGACTTTACCGGTAGCCATCGAGAATCTGCCATGTGGATAGAATGTGTTTTGAGGTAGAAACACTTGAGGGTGATCGGTTTCTGGTTGAACGTCTCTGGTTTATCGGGTTGCATCCTCAGATGGAATCACCCACTCACTCTCGGCCGACCAGTCGATGGCTATGAACGATGCCTTCCATCGCATAAATGTTGTCGCGTCAGAGCTCCGTATATCGCACACAACTGCTGTCGACAACGAAGACTTCATCTCGAATCCGAGTCGTGGTCTGGTCTTGTACTGTCCTAGTTATATGCTGCTAGCCAGAGTTCTTGATCGATTGCAGCGTTCGAGATCAGTTACATTGGTGATACTTACTTTATGAGTCGCGAGCGAGGCAGCTGTCTTTCGTCCATACCGCCTTGTGCTGAAGGTGCCATAGCGTTCGGTACTGGTGACTAGAGTAACGCTGGTGGATACAAGAGTTCCGCATTCGATACGAGAGAACAATATGAAGAGGAGGCACTAATACGCTGCTTGCAACATCAACAAATCCAAATTCACTCGGCACGGCTTCCGTGACGGGGTGAGCCTTTACATGTCATTGGTACGAATTGCGCCAATGTAAATATTCTCTCAAGTGGTAATCTTTTTACAATATTACTCTTGCAAGTCAATATTGGAGGAATATTGTCTTTGGAAGAATATCCGGCACTTATCCCCTTTTGGCTGATATAGAGCATGATATCAACCTATCAACACAGAATCGATGCTGAAAGCGCGCAATGGGTGGCGTGTGAGATTCCACATTGAAAGTTTGTAGTGTAATACAGTGTAAGTACGATAAATGAAGGATTATTGAAGAGACGTAACTATAGTAAATATGTAGTTCCATTTTTCCTTCTGCTCAACTCTTGCTCAGACCCTTCACTTCCTCTGCATATACCGTGTACGCGACGTTTGAGAGCAAACATCCTTGTACTGTATGGGTACAAAGACTTAACATTTATCTGGTAAGAAGTGGGCCATAACAATAACCAGGAATCAGAGTCTCTCCTCGTAAGATTAGGTTGATCGTGAATCGCGAGGATCGCAAATCGTAGCTGATCTGTGACAACACTCACAGATCAGCTGCGATTTGAAGGTAGCTACAGTGCCGCGGGTTAATAACCTCTGTAGCATGGGTAGTTGTGGCGAAACAAGACGCTTGAGGATCAATAGTTTGGCCGACTTGCTATCAGTGCAGCACAAATCAGGCGCATTTCTTTTCCTCAAACATTTACCGTGAGTCTCGTCGATTCGTTTTCCTGGTTACCACCATTGCTTTGCAAAAATACCGAACGCTGCATTAATCGTCTCACCAGCTAGAGTTGGTCGTAGGAAACGAAGTCATTGAGCTCATGAGCATCGCGTCCCTTGAAAATGAGCGTTCTTACTAGGAGCACCACGGCATCTTTATAAAGGCATACCGATGCAACCGCTTAAAGTCCGTTTCAAAACAGCCTGATCGCTACCATGCATGTTTGCTACAACTTTGACGCAAACAGGTGCTCAGCTGAATGTATCTGCTTCCTTCCATTGCAATTTCCATGGCCTAGATGCGCTTGATCTCGACGAGTGTCCGATCTGGTACGAAATGAGCACACTTGTCGTCGACCGCGCTTTCGATCCTGTCGCTGGATAAAGGGAGGATAGTTATGTGCGCAAAGGTGCCACCAGACTCGCCCTTGCACAGCTGACCCGGGTTGATACAAATGGAGTCTTTCGCTCGCTGTAGTGATAACAAGTGATAATCATAAACGATTGGAATCATTTTCGAGTTCGCAAGCATCGCAGAATACGTACCCCACAAAAACGGTTGAGGATTGAAGGGAGCAATAGGATATCCGGCGTCTCTTCGAATTGAAATTGCTTCGTATAGCGCAGGTCGATAGGCGCTTCGCTGCTCGGAGGAGGAGGAAATATTGGGTAGTAGCTGTGGAAAACATGTCAACAACGACATAGCCATGCGTGTCATTACTGGTCAAAGCAGTAAATCTCGGTACTAGTCGCGCATTCGTAACAAACCTTCGCTGGTCGATAATCTGTTCACACAGCCGCAGCAACCGGTTTGGATCACGACTTTGGGCTCTGCACTCATACAGATCATCAAGTAAGGGCCACGAGCAAACCACTATATGCACGAGCTCACTCACCTATAAAGCTCGTTCGAGCTCAATTGCATGATTACGTCCAATGCTGATGCTCCGAATACAACCCCATTCACGGCAAATGTGCTAGGATTGGGCATAAAGTGGACGCGCTGCAATCACGAATTGCAAAACGTTTAGCTTACTAAAGCGGCCTTCAACACCAATCACACACCTTGGCGTACTCGGGCGCCTCGAATGCTTCGCACGCTTTCTTTTTGTCCAGCGGAGGTTGCGGGTATACAAACTGGTGGTTGGCGTCTCTCAATGACGGAACGAGCACGATTTGAATTCGCTCGTCCTGTGCCAGCACTTTGTTCAGCAGCGTCATTACTGTTACGAGCCACATCGTGTGCAAGATCGCGTGAAATTAGCCAACATGCGTGATCAACTTGCTCAAAGCATAGCACCGACCTTTAAACAAAAAGATCTCGTCAAAGCTAAGCATCATGCCGTCGTAATTGACCAATCCTTCTTTGAACATTGAGTGCGTTGAATCAATGAAAGGGCCAATCTGCACGAAAAAAATACAGTTAGCTGGTCACTTACGCTCAGTACTTGGACAAACGGTGCACTAGCACTTACAAGTGCAAGCACATCTGGCTTCTGATCGGTCGCAACTTGGAGAAGATCGTTCAATGGCAAGTAGTCCACATTGCTGGAAGTCGTGAACGGTCCACACGCAAGAAGCACACGAACTGGCTCACCGTGCTCAGTTTGGATCTCTTTCATACGCGCTGGAGAGGATGTAGAAGAGAGCGCTGGAATCGGCTGCAGCCGCAATGAAAAATGAATACAGCGAATCAGTGCCACATACACATCAGCAACAGCAACAGCAAAAACGCCACTTACATCAAGGAACTTCCGGACGACCATCGAGGACCGTGTATCTGGTAGGATGCCTTCCAGTGCAACAATCTGCAAACATCATGTCACTTTCTGTTCATACTTCGGAAAGCACTACTACAACGGACCTTGCCGGGAAACAGCTGAAAGTTGGAGACTTTGCTCAAGTCGAGGAGCACGCGCTGTCCACCGCAAGTCTTTCTAGATCCTTCAATCTGCACAACGCTCGGATTCAGCTTGCCTTCAGCTGCCTCACACACGATACGCCCCACTACCGTCACTTGCGCCGGCGAGGGATCTCCAACCGGCTTGAGCTCTTTTAGTTCAAAATGGTCTTTCACCAGCTCCTCATACTCGACGAGCTGTTCATCCAACGCAATTGCTCGTTGAAACTGCGGCGTGTACATGTACGTAGCATCAGAAGACTGATTACGCGACGGAAACGGAATTCCAACTTTGACGACACGTCCTGCACTAGCTTCATGTCTTTCCATCTGCTTTTTCAGGTGCGCGTTAAACTCCGACACGGTCGTGCCAGCGTCCAACCGTTTCTCGTAGGTGTTGGCTCCAGGTGGAGACTGCATCGTCGAGGGCGAAAAAATCGTGTTGGTGCGTTGTACCTTGTTGCTTCCCAAAGGGCTCGAAAACGAGCGCGATGGGCGCTTTCCGTTTGGTGACTTCATGGCGTAGAGCGACTCGAGTGTGTCCTGGCTCTCGGCCTCGCGCTTCATCACAGGCGTCTTCAAGTTACGACAATGTTGCGAGGAAGTCGTGCGCACGGTTTCTTTGGGTTTCACCTTCTGCTGATGAAGGAACGAGCGGAAAGCCACGAGGTCATCCGTCGTGGCTGCACCGACGAGCTGCTGGTTCATCGAGTAAGCGTCCCACAGCGCAGCCATATCTTCCGAGCTCAAGTCAAACTCCTTGCATATCGACACGCACGTGCTGGTGGCATCTTCGTTCAGGTCCAAGTCGCACGCTGCGAAAGCTGCACGAATGGCAGCGACGTCGACGCTCATGGCGCTCCCTCCAGTTGCGTTGTTTCGATCGATGGGCGAGGTGAACAAAACGGCGCCAAACGTTTTGATTGGCCGACACGAAAGTCAGATCGCATTGAGGCTATGCCGGTCGTTGTTGCCCGACCTGTGGCCAAAGTGACAGAGAGTCGACGCCAAGTGAGTCGTGACGATGAAGCAAAAGCTGCGACTTGTGACGTGGAATGTCAATGGACTGCGCGCAGTTTTGCTGCGTTTGGGACAGCGTCTGCCGCAGCTTCTCGAGAGTTTCGAGGCGGATATTGTGTGTCTCCAAGAGACGAAACTAACGCGCTCGGAGCTCGACGAAGAGCTCGTGCGGCCTGTAGGTGAGGTGGCTCCTACATCGAAGAGCGAGAGCGAGAGAGAAAGGCGTGTTGAGGCTTAAGTGTCCGTGATATTGCAGGATTTGACGCCTTCTACTCCTTCTGCCGGTATCGCGGAGGGTACTCTGGTGTCGTGACCTTTGTCAAGCGTGACCTGCCCACTGTAGCAGCCGAAGAAGGGCTGACAGGTCTTTGGCGAACGAAAACCAGCGTGGGACACCTTGGGACTCTGCATAAGGAGGTATATACCGAGCTCATTGTTCAGCAAAGAGCGCTGTAGCTACGGTGTCGACGTGTAGTGTATGCAAACATATTGGCTACTGCAATTGACTCGCGTGTCGTTGTGGATTCGACTACTGGTCGGCCAGCTGTCGCCGAAACTCGTGCAGGAGTTGGAATCTGAGGGCCGCTGTCTGATCACCGATCATCAAGCTTTTGTGCTATTGAACACGTACTGTCCAGCACTGGCATCTACGGACCGGTTGGAGTACAAGCTTTACTTTCATGCATTGCTAGAAGATCGGGTCAAGGCTTTACAAAAGGCAAACAAGTGCGTTGTTGTCGTGGTCAGTTGCTGCACATGTCGAACGCTTGCAACTGTGAGGTCGTGGCTCAAGTTTTGTTTTGGCTGCAGGGTGATATCAACATTGCGCACCGCCAGATTGATCACTGTGACCCAAACACGCATCGGTCGAAGGGCGCATCTTTCGCGGATCATCCGTGCAGAAGGTGGATGGACTCTTTTCTTGGACAAACACAGGAGTCGGATCAGTCAGCCTCGTCGGTTGCTGGTTGTAACAAAACGAACCAGGCGTCTACTCTTACAATGGTCGATGTTTTTCGGCATCTACACCCTTATCGAGCCAAGGCTTTTACGGTGCGCACGTGTTGTGTGTATTCCTTTTTAGCATCTGAATTGTTTATATGGTGGTTTGTAACAAATACTGATCGTAACACATCTGCCGTAGTGCTGGAACACCGTGACGGGAGCACGTCGAACAAATTACGGGACCCGGATTGACTATATCTTCGTAGATCCTGTTTTCCTTACTTGCGTAACTTCGTGCAGGTAAGCCAGATTTTCACGTAACGATGAGGGTACTGGCTGATGTACCTATGTTCCTTGCATGTCCAGTCTCGACCCGGAGCGTCTGGGATCGGACCATTGCCCAGTGGTCATGTCTTGCGTTGTGCAATTCAACACTGATCAGTTCGACAATGATCGCGTAGTTGTTGCAGCACTTTGCGCCAAAAACTTTGTCGAGTTCTCAGGCACGCAGCAGAGTATCCAGGCGTTTGTTGTACGAAGTCCACCTGTACCAGACAACCAACATGGTGGAAATGACTCGAACGCATTCGTACGAGCCTCTGGTTTCGGGAAGCAATCTAAAAAGCAGACAAATTGTGGCCAGCGGTCGATTACCGCCTACTTTAATCATGCCGTGGCGGAGCAAACGATGACTTCGCATCATGAGTGTTACGGTAGTGAAGAGGGGCGATCTGTAGACCAAATGCTTGCTGTACAATCAGCAAAGCGCAAACGGGTCGAAGAAGGGAGGCTGGAATGGCGGCATGTTCTAAGTGGACGACCGTCACCGACACCGATGTGTCACTGCGGTCAGCCCACTGTGCTGCGGTCAGTCGTGAAGGCAAACGAAAATTGGGGCCGCAAATTTTACGTCTGCACTAAACCAGCGGTAAGCTCATCGTCGATTCCGCCCACCCCTGTCACACTAATACAAACTGTCCGTAAACAGGGTGAGAAAAGCAATCCGGACGCGCGATGTGACTTCTTCAAGTGGGCTAACGATAAAGAGGCGAAGAAGTCAAAGACGCAGTAGCCCGGCTTTGGCGCAATACGACGGCTTGGCAAACGATGATCGCCTGCACTCGCTGTATATTTCGCTTTTGTACTTTGTGCTATATAAGCCAACACGTCTCACTCGTCACTTTTGTGGCAATACCTCTGTGGTACTTTTGACAGCGAGCACATCTAAATCGCAAACATAGCTGACTCGAACCAAGTGTGCGCGAGTGCCTCCGCAGCAGTGAGTCGCTTTGTCGGGTCACGCTCCAATAGGCGCTGAACCAAGTCCTTAGCATCCGCGCTTATAGTCTTCCACACACGATCCGAGAAATCAGCGTCTTCTTCGATGCACACATGAGGTGGGTAAAATGGCTGGTATCCAGTCAACATCTCAAAAATAATGATCCCTACCGACCACATATCCACCGGCTTGCCGTACGGCTGCTGCTGCAGCAACTCGGGAGCAATGTAGCCTGAAGTGCCCGTCACTTTGGTAAACGGAACCTTGTGGACGTCACCGGTAAGCTTGAAAAAGCGGACGTCCGGCACCTTCACCGACAGTCCGAAATCACACAACTCGACATTGTAGTCATTCACCTTGACATCGGCGTGAGGGTCTTGAGCTGATTTTACATGACTTGCGCGACGCATGACAGGTGAATTTTCACCATTGTCTTGATTTGCTGTCTTAGCATCGCTCAGCAAGATGTTGTCGGGCTTCAAGTCGCAGTGCAGCACACCCATATCATGCAAGAATACAACAGCACGTGCGATTTGCTGTGAAAGCTTGCCAGCAAGCGCCTCAGGAAGCATACGCTTTCTCTGCATCAAAGACTTGAGGTTGCCCTTTGTTGCTTTTGCCATGACCAGGTATAGAAAGTCAGGCGTCTCGTAGACTTCGTACAGCCGAACAATGTGCTTGTGGCGCAAACGCAAATGAATCTCGATTTCTCGACTCACTGCGTTCTTCGCCGCCTCATCGCGCAAAAAGCGCTTATGTATCTGCTTGATTGCAACTTTCTTTCCATTGACGCGACGAATAGCAGGTTTCACCACAGCGTACGACCCGTCACCCAGCTGATCTTCACCGACCAATTCGTACTGCTCCGTGACAGCCTTCTCGTGGATGAAATACGGCTTCGGTTGGTTAAACTCATCCTCGCTGTCGCTGTCATGGTCGTCATTGTTGAGAACGTGAGCTGTCGAGTCGCGTACTCCTGTGCGGTGGATCGCCATGATACGGAGCTCGTCGCCATCATTCAAACGCCTGGCTACGAACGGGTTCGCGGGAATTCGAGGCGCAGCCTGGGTGTACTCGTCCTTTACATCGTCGTCATCGCTGTCCTCACTGACAATGCGCTGAAGTTTCATCCCGACAGGCGCCTTGGCCTTCTTACCCTTGTCCTTACCGCCCATGCGCTCTTGTTGTGATGAACGTAAGCCAACTTTCCTGAATATGCCCTTACCCGTCGAGATGAAACCGTCTGTCGTCTCTGAGTATCCTCCTGACTTGCCAAGCTCTGTGTGACCATAGCTAGGCGCAAAGAGCGACCGAATCGACGGCATTCCCTCACTTTCCGAAGTAGCACTCGACAGGCCAGACGGCTTCCTGATTTTCTTGTATGGCAGGCGACGAGGAGGTAAGCCACCGACAGGCGGCGGCACATCATACTTGTCCGTGATCGACAAGATATTCAGAGGTAGCGACCGAGGCACTTTCTTCTGCTCCAGTGCTGCAAATTCCCCCTCGCTCCCGTCACTGTCGTCAAACTCGTTACCATACCGACTTCCAGCATCCTGCGTACTATTCGGTGAGTTCGACTTGTTCCCATTGAAGAACGGATCCGCATCTCCGTCGCTAAAGCGGCGCGGACGTGTCATCAGTTCAGCGTCAGGAATGCACCGCGAGTCGCTGTACATGCGATTCATGTGCGCAGGCTGCTGGAGCGACGCAAAGTCGTCGCTGTCCGTAATATCCATGGCCACGAACGACCGCAGCGACTCCGTGTCCGAGTAAATGCCCTCAGCAGTCATGACCCGCCGACAGGCAGCCAGTTTATGCAGCGGGTCGTAGTACCCTGGAAGGGAGTGGAAAATGCCCGTGAGCGGATGGTGGCGGAACTTTTTGCGCTCTTCGAGCTCCGCCATGTCGACAATGTCGCTGGAAAAGTAGACAGCTCCCCGGTTTCCAGCACTGCAAAGCGGAGAGACCACCACCGCGCAACAGACCAATGAGCGTTAGAGCGACGAACCAGCAGCAGACCCGGCGAAGCAATTGCGACCACACATAACCACACACACACATACCTTGGCGCGTGATGGAACGTGCCGACATAGGGATTGTACGACGGCAGCTTCGCGAACACGTTGTGGGGCACGACGACAGCGCCGGCGTTGGTCATCGCGGGTCGAGCAGCTGCTGCGTGCGGTTCTCGTCGGGAAGTGAGCGGCGCGACGTCGTGGCCAGTGGACGCGGCGGCGGCGCGGGCGGCGCGGGACGTCTCCGTTTGAAGCTCGGGGTCGCGCGACTCGACAACGTGCCGCATCATGGCCAGAGAATGGGAAAAAGAGCCGGTCGGGGGCACTGGCGTTTCGTATGGCGGTGATTTGTCCAATCAAGTTCAGTGGCGAGCAAATTTTGAACAGACGGGACGATGGCGCTCTTGCCACGGTTTTCGAGACGAGCTGTTGCTGCAGCGGTTTAGTCGACTGCGTTGGCGATGTGTAAACCGAATACATTTACTGCGTCAGAGCTCTATAACGTGGCGTTGGTACCCATCGACGGATATTCAGTAACTTGATCGAGCACGACGTGGCAATCAGCCAGTCCGACCCGTGAGCTTTGTGCTCTGTCTCGTGAGTCGCGAAAGAGCACAACACCCAAAGACGGACGATGGTGCAAAGCGCAGGTAAAGGGCGTGGAGAGTGTGTTGTTGAATACAGTGGGTTTGCGCCGCAAGTGAAGGAACATGTGGCAGATGATCGCAACAGTCTAGCGTAGGCTTGCTTATAGTCTGCAGGAGGCACGCGGTGTCTCGAGACTCGACACCATTGATGTGCACGCCACCGCTCTACAAAGTAGGAGTTCGTGCGATCTGAGAATGGGCGCTTGACATTGTTGCGGCCGTGTCACCGATACAGGACATGAGTCGGTGAGGTTTAGTTCGCGCGTTCTGAACAGCGTCGTTCGAAATGACGAGATCGTCTGTTTTGTTCACGAAGCCCCATCTGGACTTGTCAATGTCACATTTCACGCATAGAGCACGCAGCTGAATGGATCCACAACGGATTTTTGCAAGCGCAGCGCTATCATCGCGTGAGCGCGTATGTGCATGTGACACAGCCTTTTTCTATTTTTAGCGATCGTTACGATGCAGACCGAAGGAGAACGCTGACTCAAACGATTTTATTGGCGTGTTGCGCCTTCTTTCTCTAACGCAGTCTTCTTGACTGCTTATCGCGTGTTGAATACGATTTCCGCAGTGAAATTTCGCAGAATTAGAATCTGACTCCTCTCTGATTACGACGGCAAGTGCGTCTGCTGCCCCAACCCGTCGTCCGAATTTTGTCGATCGTTCTGACCAGGAAGCAATGCGATTGGTTCGACGAATCGATGACGCAGACGCGTCATAACTTCTAGGCCAGCGACAAGTCACGCTCGACTGATCCGGCTTCCCACGCTCCGCCGCCTGTTGAACATGAACGAAAAAAAGGAAAGTAACTCCATGTTCAACATCATTATTTTCTGTGGGGTTTTGCAATGTACGAAGCCACGTCTGCGACGTCAGTGTCTGCTGTCGATACGGTACTCCGACGTGACTCGCCACTCTTTGTAGTGCTTTGTTTACATGGGCGTCAAAACGCCGTAAGTCGAATGTAGTACGTACGCTCCGTGTACTGTTATGGCCCCAACCCGCCCTTGACGAAGTCTAGCGTATTGCATGGGTCTCTGACTTCACTGTCTTTGAACACTGATTGATCTCATCCGAAATGTATCGTCTTTGAAAGCTCTGTGTGGCCGTTCAGTGACTGCTAGCGGTGGTAGTGGTGCCTTTTCTTTCCATGCAATGCTTCGCATACGCACGCATGGGTTAAATCCATTCATAGGATTGTCGAGATAGTTCGTATCGACAGCCTTGTGCACATGACATGCCCAATAAACGTACCTGATCCTCTATATGACCTGTACACGTTTGAGTCCTCTGCATCTAGTTTCTTCTTCGGCCTGTAAATCAGGTCTCGCTGTCAATCTGCTTGTCGATCTGATCCAGGTGTAATGATCGGTGACCCACTAAGCCAGCTCCTAAGTTGCATAAGGCTTGTGGGCATGGATGACTCCAAACATCCATCCAATCTAGTTGCTCCTTGCTAGACTCATCAATTTGTAATTCAATCGCATAACCTCAATCAATAAGCAAAGAACCTGCTGGACCTCACTTTATCAACAAGTGCGCGGTCTCACAAACACGGGACAATGTCACATGATCCCTAACATATTGGCGATCGAAATCTCGGTCGCAACAGTATGTGCTTGATATCGGGACGCATAATTGACGACTGGCACATTGCATCCTCGGGGCTGTGTTGTCGCCCGAGCCAAGCTATGAACGGTGAACCGCGTTGTATGATTTTCTTCGAGGGCGGCGCATTTTTCGAGAATATTTGCTCAAAGTTGTGCTTTGTCCGCCGCGCAGATCTTTTGTTATGCTTGTACGCATTCGGACCCTAGCCATAAAAAAGCTGATGCGCCTGACAAAGACACCTTCGTTTTCGATTCGGTGACAGCGCTTATTGAACAGGCTCCGATCGGGTTGCGTAAGAAATGCACAGTTGACGTGTCTATCAAACTACAACATGTTTGCTCATGTTCAAGCCTCATGGACGATCCCTGATGGATCCATTGACGCTGGACACTTGCGTCGATCGTCTTTGTGCTCAAATGGTTCAGCGGAGGTCAGTGTGACGTTTATCGATATTAGCGTGTCAGATCACTGTATATTCCTCCATTCGAATAGCAATCAAGTCATCGAAATGGCCACTTGAGGGATATGCTGACGTCTTTAATTTGTTACTTCGTCTTCCTAACCATTCCATTCATCTTATGAGTTCGAGCGATTTGTCTGGGCCCTGTGTTGATCGACGTTTTGCTGATCTTGTTATACATCTGAATAGTAACTTCACCGGTCTGTGAAGATCGATATAGCTCTTATATCACTTGGTCGCCACGCATCTACACATCATCGAACTGGTGTAAACTAGCTTATAAGGTTTGGCTTAATTCATCGGTCCGACGGCCTCGAGACTCGATACTATGTGTATCAGCCGCATCGAGCGTCCCACTTATTCCAAAAATGCACCCGCCCCGAAAGTCTGATACGTGTTTGTCTTCCTGTGGGCAGAACACGACGCTCAAGTGTTCGCTGAGCAGTAAAAATAATGCTTCGATCGATTGTTGATGTACAATCAATCGCTGTGTTGAAAAGAGGGTAAATAGAAGAAATCATGCTCGGGTCGTCAGCTCCACTAAGTGACTGTAATTTATAAAAA